TTCACTTCATCTGTGAAGAAGAAATGAGGGAGAAGGAAGAAAGGAGGGATAGAGAAAGAAAGAACCAAAGAGACAGAGAGAGAGACAGAGAGAGAGAGAGAGAGAGAAAGAGAGAGAGAGGATGAAGCTAGTAGAAGAAAATACATAGAACCATATTTTTGTGACTACATTACTTAAACAAGAACCCCAAACCACAAGTCACAGCGGAGATGGATGCTAAATTTGACTACATTAAAAGTAAAGACATTTTCAACAACAGACACCAGGGACACAGTTAAAGATGGAGGGCAGATAGAAGATATTTACACTTGCTCTAAGGTTAAAAGAAAGTAGTGTTCAGAATATTTAAGGAACTTCTGAAAATCTGCCAGAAAAGTGAAACTCAAAGGAAAAATGGTTAATAACAACATAGGCAATTAACAAAAGGGAATCTAAAAGATAACAAGCAAATGAAGCTCAACTTTGCTAGATTTTAAAGAAATGCAAATTAAAGCAGATTTGCAAATAGTAGAAGGTTGGTCAATATCAAGTGCTTGTGGGGAATATGGAAATCTTCACTCCTAGTAAGAGCCTAACCTGTAATGGCAATTTGGCAGAGTAATCTTGCAGTTCAGCACTCACATATGTCCACTGATTTCTATCTGTGTTCATCGATACCTTGTTTGAGATAGCAAGGAATTGGTGACAACCTAGATATCGCTCACTAAGGAATGATAAAAAGTGACAGAATACCATGCAGGTAAAAAAAATGGTCTAAATTTGTACATACCAATGCAGAATGCTTTCACAAACTTAGTGTCATGTGAAAAAGAAAGAAATGTAATAACTTTTATAGCTCAATAAAGTTATATATATTAAACACAAGCATACAGACAGTTTCAGTCTACTGTCAAGATACATATACATACACAAGCATATGAACTGTGCAGGCACATTGCTCAGCCTCAGGGTTAAAATTCACACAGTTTTCCAGGCAAATGGTGCCCTCTGGGGAAAGATGCCAGAATACAACATGAAAGGTGCCCCCTGAGGGTATGCAATATGGCAGGCTTGACTACTGAAGGTTGTAGATTAATGTCAGAATAGGTGCCTATGATGAGAGCAAGGAGGGAAAAGGGAGTGGGAATGGGAGCTGCCATGTTGTACACTGTGTGCTACTTACACTCCAGGTATGAGTGTGACTAGTGCAGAGTGTGCAACATGGCAGCCTTGAATATATAAGATGGTTTGGAAGGTTGTAGATTAATGCATTGGAATAGGTGCCTATCATAAGAGCAAGGAGGGAAATGGGAGTGGGAATGGAGAGGAAGGAGAACATGAAGTAAAGTGAATATAGAAAAGGGTACATGCATAAAAAGGAGGATGATAGTGTGCCCGAAATGAAGAAATAGAATCAACTCAATTCCGTGGTCTTAAGTGGAGGAGGCTGGACCCAAAAGAGGGATCTTGAGCTGGAAAACCAACACCTTCTCAATCCTGCTAAGAAATGTGGATTTTATCTTGAAAGCTATGGGAAATCCTAGAAGTGTCTGAAACAGGAAAGATTTGCATGGGAATGGATGAGAAGGGGAGAGGCTGGGGGGCAGCAGGCCTTCAAAGCAACCCATGCAAGGTCTCCATGAGCACAGTGGGGTCAATGTGGCCAAAGATGCACTGAGCCAGGTGTGCATACCTAATGCCACACACAAAGATCCTTGGAAAGCCTGGCACTCCCTCCTTCAACTCCTCCCTCATTCTTATGTACCCAGAGGCTCAAACAGAAACAAGGCCTGTTAAAAGTGCTAGGAACAGCTCCCACCAGCATGGCCATGGTTGATACCACCTTCCAGATATGAGTGTGATTAGCACACAGCCGTCTTCCCATTTTCACAATGGAAATTTCACAGATTGTCATAATCAAATCTTCTCTTTTCAAGATATTAAGAACAACCTCAAGCGTGTATCATATGTAGAAAGAAATTCCTAGAAAAATCTAAACTCAATTACAGATTCCTTATAAACAACTTGGTTTATGTGTTTATTTTGATGTAATTTTTGATAGAGGTTGGTATGGAGAAGCACAAAATCAAATATGTTTTATGGCATCACTTTCTAAGAGAATAGCCTTTTCCGCTAGACTCAAGATGAAAAAGATCACGAATATTTTCTTTTTATAACTCTGATTCAATTTGTTATCTCCTTAGTCCTGCTTATATAGAGTTTCTGTCTCTTCTGTTCTCAGATCATTGACCAATTCTGATATGAGATAAAATTCTATTAATATTACCTTAAGCAAGTACTCAGAGAAGGAAAAAACAAAATGGGAAGGAGAGAAAACACCACACCCTCTTGACTAACACTTCTGACCCACCGGCCCACCCTTGCTGTTGTAAGAACATTTTAAGTCAGTGATTGTCAGCTTTGGCTTCCTGAGGCAACAAAGAATTAATTAGTAAATTTTGATTGAAATATTTTCCTAACAAAATATAATACCTAATGAAAGTTAAGCGGTAGTGAAACAGGCACGCTCATGCATAGCTGATTGTAATTAGAACAAATCTTTTGAAAAGCAATTTGGCAGTAAGTATCAAGCCTCTAAATGTGTGTACTCTGACCTGGGAATTCTCTTTCTGGAAACCTATCTTATTGTGGGGAGGGTGGGAATCTAATTAGGTAAACAGATACATGCACAAAGAAACTTATTATGGTGTTATTTTATAACAATAAAAAAAAGTATGAGAAACAAACTGATAACATGCCCAGTTCTGTAAACTATGGTATATCCACCAGTTTGGGTGGATCTGTTTATAGGGAGTCTGTCAAAACCTGAGTATAAACATGTATATACAATCTTATCAAAATTATATATTTTTAAATACAGAAGCAAATATGAAATCTGCACAATTCAAAAGGTTTGGAAGTAAATATACTAATCTTGGTAGTGACAGGTTTTTGGTACAGAGATTTAGAGTGACTTTCCTTGCCTTTTTATTTATGTTATTTTCAGGTTCATCATAAGGACTATAGTGTACACAACTTTTCTAATCAGAAAACAATAAACACACTTTATAAGGAAATAAACAAACATAGAGATGCCATATGGAATCTTTTGGTTTGAGAGATGGCTGAGACTGGGATAACTCAGATCAAAAATACAATAAATTATCTCAATTCCAAAAAAAAAAAAGGTGGGGCTGGCTGGTAAGGGACCTACATTTCATACCCTTCTTAAGTTTGCTGGTTTCTGCCCAGGATTTCCATTAGGACTGGAGAATAGGAGCTGAGTTAATTTTCCCAGCGGCCCTGAAATCCTGATATTGGTACATTCCCTGTCATGCATTTATTCTCCTTCTTAGGGCCATGGTGACCATAAATGTGAATGAAAATTTAAAGTATTTAGTATTTATTAAGCACTTCCTATGCACAGGCACTGTTTTGGTGCTTTTTATAACTGTATTTCACCTTTCTCAGGCTTACAAAAGCTCTTAGTAAAAAGAACTATTGTCTCCTTCCTCCTCACTCCCCCACGCCAGCGTGTTCTACACACTCCTTTCTTCTACTCACCAAGAGAGCCTTTTAGGAATATAATTGATCTGGATAAGAGAAAAAAAATGGGCCAACTAGGCTGCCATTTGTTATCAATAAAGCCTCACAGCTGTCTGAACAGCTGACTAAAGAAGCACCTTCAAATGGTCAAGACAGGGAAGGTTCTAGAAATAGGGCACCAGAAAATCCCACAGGCCTTCTCCTTGTGATGTGGCTTGTTTGCTTTACAGGTGTCAAGCATATTTGCTGACGTCAGCAGCCCATCAAAGTTTAAAATAATAATAGCGAAAAGGAAAACAGCCCCTTTCTGCCAGGCAGTCCTGTTCTGCCAACTTCTGCGTTCTTTTTGAGTTAATAAACGTCCAAGAATCACCTCTCCTACCACCCTGAGTGGGAAAAACAGCACGATAATTTTAAAACCACCAGGTCAGCCCACTGTCAGCATAAACCATTCAGACAAGTAGCATTTTGTCACACTCTAATGAGGATTTTACCTCTGCCTCAAAACGAAAGCTATCATTAGGTTTCGTGTTTATGGGATCAAATGATTGTCTGGGGATGGTGGGTTTCTCTCAGTCCCTTCCTCATTTTAATCACGTTCAAGACCAAATGCATAGACATTTCCTGCATCAGATGAAACTAAAAAACCATAGCTATGCCAGCTAATGTCTTTTGAAAACATCAATTAAGAAAATGGCCTTTAAATTCCCATTTTTACTTGAAAATCTGCGAACAGGCACACATGTTTTAATACCAGGGCAGTGGTGGTGGCAGTGAGGGGCGGGTGGGGGGTGCTGTCTCTAAAAAGGAGACAGCACAAACAGTGGTTTGAGGAGGTCAGAAGGGCAGGCTCCCATTGGCAACAAGCAGATAGAGAATCTCTGCAAGGGAAGGAACTTCTGTATAAAGCAAAGGCCTCTTAAGTTATCTTCACATGTAGTGTTGAAACTGGAGCCAGCCCCTCAAGAGTAGGTTGATAAGAGGCTTCTGCACCATGCTGGTACCACACACAGGCCCCATTGTTAATACCTCCTGAGGACAGATTAGATCCCACATTCCTCAGAAGTACTGAGCTGCAGAGGGAAATCGGCCAGCAGGCTCCTTCCGCAGGGCCAACCACTAGCTACAACTGATAAGTTTTAATTGAAATAACTGGAACAATTACATGGAGTCCCCACCACTTCTGTCGCCAGCTACTGAGATGGTGGTATACTTGCATCTCCTGGCATGTGCATAGGCGTGTGCCAGAAAAGAGTGATTCAAGTTCTTAACTCATTTTTTATCTTTTTTTCTATGGCTATGTGCCATCGTTAATCAAATTGTTCACCCAAGGAGTACTATGAGATTGTTTTGTTTTATTTTTTCTTTTCTGGCCTTATCTAGGAAACCCTGATATTTACTCTATCTGAGTTTGAACAAGTAACTAATTAATCTCTGACAAAAGATACTGAAGTTAGACAAGTTTGGGTAAAATCCGTTGAGGTCATGGTTGGTTTTAATCACATAGCTCAATTTAAAAGCTGAACACTAACATACCTTTGCTTTCAAAGAGTGCTTGTTAAACAGTAAGTTTTGTTGTGCATAACTTGAATTCTGCCACTTCCTTTTATTTTTTTCTGAAATAACAGTGATTGAGTCAATGAAGTGGCAATATGAATTAAAGGACAACACACCTGCCTTTGCAGGGACAGACCCCAAAGGGCCTAAATTAAATTTTAACCAGGATTATGTTTGCCAGGATTTTATATCTCAAATGATTATGTTTGGCTTTTGTAATAATAAAAGGTTATTTTGGGAAAAGAATTCCCTGTTAACATCTACTCTGTTTACTAGGAGGAAATACAGAGTTAGACTTCGATACAGTTTAGCCTTTGAAAGAAAATAAAAGACAAATGATTTAGCAGATGGGTAATTCCCAAATCTGCAGAAATGTAAACAGCCAGGATTTTGGTGCCTATGGGTTTTATCAAAGATGTAAGAAAGGCTGAGACCGACACCAGTGTGTCCTCTTTGGCTAGTTTTAACACGTTTACAGTCACAATTAACATTCAAGGAATTTCCTTTTCATCCAAGTGTTTCTTTTAAAAGCACTTCATACCACACACTAAAGTTCTAGCTGCCATCAGTCCTTCCCATACAGAAGAGTAGTGAAATCTCCATAATACTTCCTTACTTTGAAAATGGGCTGGGACCACGTCAATTTCCTTGGGGTGTTTGTTTTCCAATATAGGTGGTTCTCGCCTCCTCCCTCCTTCCCTCTCTTTAAAGAACTTGTACTGGGGACCCTACTTCTTCGTCCCCCACCCTCCTCCGCACTCACCCCGGAGCCAGATGAGCGCGAGGCTGGGCCGGCGTCCTAAGCCCTCCCCCGGCCCAACAGCCTGGTTTCAAGTCCCTGAGCCGGCCGGCCCACTGCATTCTGCAAGAAAAAAGAGATCCCTGTTTCCCCCTCTCCCCCGCTACCCCTAGACAAGGGATTCGCACATAGGCACGGAGTCCGAGTCTTGGCTATGCATAGAGCTCAGCCCCGTATCCGAGTCTTCGTCGTTGCCAGGACCGCTCTTGGCCAGTCCACGGGCCTGGTCCACCCACATGTCGGCGCAGGCTTGAGGCCCGGGTTCCCGCGAGGGACCGCCAGAGCCAGGAGCCCCATCCGGCGCCACTGTCAGCTCCAAAGTGTGCAAAGTTTGCAGAAGGCCCTGTAGCTCGCGCTCCTTGCTGTCCCATTGCTGCTGGCTGTAATCCAAGTCCGACTTGACGGCCTCCAGGTCCGTGTTGAGCCGGAGCCCGATGTAAAGGCTAGTACTGAGCTGCGTCCTGACTCGTTCCTGCTCCAGCAGCAGCTCGCCCTCGGGGCCGCCATCGGGCTCCAGGGGCTCCTCCCGCGCCGCCAGCTCCTCCTGGCGCCGCCGCATCCACCGCTGGTTGAGTTCCTCCTGAATCTCGGCTGAAAGGCGCTCCAGCAACTCCTCCTGCTGAACCCGTTGCTCCTGAAGCCTCAGTAAGTCGTCGCAGCGCCGGGCCAGCTCCTCCAGCGCCGCCGCCTGCGCCTCGCCGTCTAGAGGGGGCGGCGCCGCCGCCGCCGCCTCTGCCTCCGCCGCCACCTCTTCTGGCTCCTCTCCTGGGCTAGACCCGTCGAGCTCGATGCCTGCCCCAACCAAGTAAGTGTCCTGCACGTAGTTGACCCCGTGACGCCGCATGCGGTCCAGGTGCACCTTGGCCTCGTAGCGGTCGATCTCGCGGTCCAGCTCGTGGAGCCGCTGCACCTGCTGGCGAATGGTGTGGTCCTGGGAGAGCACCAGATGCACCAGCGTCTCCATGCGCTCCACCGACGCGCTCTCGTGGGCCCGCGGCGACGAAGAGCAGGACGAGGCAGTGGACGACGAAGTGGACGAACAGGACGACGGTGGCTGCTGCTGGCGCCGCCGGTTGAGCTTGGCCAGTTTGCGAAAGGCCTTGCGCACCACTCGCCGCTGTTTCTCCTGGGTCATGGCCAGGCTGGGCCGCGCGGGGGCCCCGCGGGCCGGACAGGGGCGCTCTCGGCTGAGCACTACGCGCGCCTCGGCGCTGCGGGGGCCGGCGTTAGGCAGCGATGCCTCGCTGCGCACTAGCACGAAGCGCACATTCTCTTGCTCTTCGCCCCAGGCAGCCCAGAGGCGCAAGATGCGAGTCTTGTTAGGGAGGATGCGCTCAAAGCCGCGCCACTTCTCCACGATGCAATAGCACTGCGGGGGCCCCCACAGCATGCCCTGCGGCAGCGCCTCGTCGTCGTCCTCGTCGTCCTCGTCTGGAGGTTCGGGAAGCTCTCCCGGGCCAGGCGGGTCGCCGGCCGACCCCCGCCGCCGGCTCCGCCGCTGTCTCCGTCGCCGCCGGCAGCCGTCCTCCAAAAGCACTCGCACAACGTCCGAGCAAGTAGTGCGGCGGGAGAGACCGGACACCAGCTTCTCTTCCTGGCAGATCCACACGGATATCTTCTTTTCCGAAGGATCCATGGTGCAACCAGGGCGCAGGTGGCAGGTCCGGCCGGGCTCTGCTGGGGCAGAAAGGACAGCAAGGGCAGCCCAGTAGCTCTGGGATGGGAGAGGAGCCCGTGCCCCCTCCTGCGGCTGCACTAGCCCTGCTTCCCCACTGCGCACCGAAGGCAGGCTGGAAAGCGACTGCGGCTGTGGTCGCGGTTGTGGCTGCGCTCTGCCCGGACGACGGGCGCTCCCGGGGCAACGCGCCCGGGACCGGCTCCCGCCGCTCTGGCTCTACCCAAGGTGCCCGGGACCTCCGGGTTTTGCTCCTCCCCACGTGGCTCCACCCCTTCCCGCCCCCAGCGCCCAGAGCTGTGGCTGGAAGTACAGGAGGCTCAGGGCCCAGGCCCGCCCCTTGCAGCCTTGCCGCGCGGCGTGCGCCCCGTCCGCCCCTCGCTCGCGTTGCGGGCATCCTGAGTCTGGGCCTTTTTCGCCAAATCGCTGCTCTGCCGCGCGCCTACGCAAGGGAAGATTCAAGGGCCCCTCCACTTCAGGGAGTGGAGCCCGCGCCTCGGCACGGATCGGCTGTGCGTCTCCCTTGGCCTACTGGCTCTTCTCCTTGTGTCTATAGCTAGCCGGACGCATCTTGACTTTTATCTTCTCATCTTTCCTGGCGCCTCCAGACGCATTTCCTGGTCCCTCAAGGCAGCGGTGCCTGGGGAGTGCACTTTGCACAGACAGGGAAACCGAGGCACTCAGCGGTCTCCAATGGAGACGCTCTAATCACATTCCACGTCCAGCTAGCGCTATGAAGAGCTGCCTCTAACGCGGAAGGCCTCCCAGTCTTCCTCGACAGGAAGCAGTATTTGCATATCTAAGGAGAACAAGATTCAGCAATGTGCTCCGGGAGCAAGTGCAGGCATGGAACGGTCTGGGCTGGAGGGGGACAGACGTTCAGAGGCGGCTGCCGGTTTTCTGTAGTGTCACGTAAGTGGGTCTCCACGTCATCTTCACCTCAGCTTCCCACAGCCTTCTTGGGAGAGGGGCTTCTCATTCTAGTGGGAGTTCAGGGCCCAGACCCGAGTCACAAGCTATTTTTATGCTTTCCACATCCATAAGGGGAAACCGTGAAGGCTTCTGGCATTTTCTAATATTCAGACGTGGTCCAGAAGAGATAACAGCCAAGCTTTACAGCGCAAGAAACCCAAGGCCACAATGCAAGTGAAATTGTTTCATCCTTAACTGCTGATGAGGATAGTCTATTGCGTGCAAGCCTTGCACTTAGCTTGTCCTTGTGAGCACAGGTCTAATAATAAGCTCACTCCCTTTCTTCAAGACCTTGGATGGCTCCCCATTGCCTCTTGGCTAAAGCACTTTTGTTCATTCAATGATTCACTCAGCAAATGTTTATTGAGTACCTACTGTGCTCCAGGTCCTATCGCTAGGGCTTTGACAATGAATGAATCGCCAGTTCTGGCTTGCAAGGAGTTCACAATTTAGTGGGAGAGTACAGCCAAGTAAACATTTCCAACACAATGTCTTGTGTCCTCTGATAAGGGAGAGCATGAGGTTTTGGGGGAACCTGGAGTGGCATCCAACCCATCTTGGAGGGGCAAGGAAGGCTTTCCCCCAGAGGAGGTGTCTTAAGCAAGACCCAAAGGACCATTAGAGTCTGCCAAAAGGAAAGTAGATGGAGGGGAGGGACAAGCAGTATTCTAGAAGGAATTGTAGTGCAGTCAGGAATCAAGAGCATGTTAGTTACTGGGGCTGTCAGGAATTTGAGAGGAGTGTCTAAAATTGAGGTTGAATGATTGAACAGGAACAGGATCAGGAAGGGCCTTTAATTCCATGCTTATGTATTTGGATTTGTCATAAAGACAGTGAGAACCCATAGGGTGCAAATCTGGAGTCAGAACAGTCAAGTAAAAATCTCAGCAGCACTTACTAGCTCTATAACCTTAGGAAAAGTATTAATCTCTCTGAGCTTCAGTTTTCTTATCTGTGAAATGTTGATAATAAAAAAATACCTCCCTAATAGAACTGGTGTAAGGATTAACTGCCTGGGCCTGGTAAATCCCCAATAGTTTTATTGGGGGATTGGAAAGCTGGGAGGTATATTAGTTTTCTATTGCTGTGTAACAAATTATCACAAACTTAGTGACTTAAAACAACACCCATCTATTACTTTACTGTTCTGTAGATCACAAGTCCAAGTTGGCATGGCTGCTGCATACTTTGCTCAGGATGTCCCAGGCAAAAGGCAAGGTATAGGCTGGTTCAAGTTCCTGTCTGAAGGCTCTGGGGGAATACCCACTTCCAAATCCATTCAGGTTGTTTGCATGATCTGGTTCCTCTCAGTTGTAGGTCTGAGGTCCCCATTCTCCTGTTGGCTGTCCTCCAGGGTCACTCTCAGCTCCTACAGGACTCTCTCAGATCCTTTCTATAGGATATCCACCCCCCTCCCTGCAACTTAAAAGTCAGCAACCACATGTCAAATCCCTCCAGTCCTCCTTTGCTTTTAATCAATCTACCATCCTCTTCTGCCACTAGCTAGAGAAAACGCTCTGCTTTTAAAGTGCTTGATTAGTCAAACCCACCTGGATAATTTCTCTGTCTTAAGGTTGACTGATTAATAACCTTAACTATATCTGAAAAACCCCTTTTGCTGTGTACTGTAATATAATCACCAAAGTCACCCCCAGGGAGATGGAGATTATGGGGCTGTCTTAGAATTCTGCCTACCATAGGGCATAACATGAACAGATTTTGATTTTTTAAAGATCAGTCTGTTTGCATTGAGGACAATGGGTGGGGGTGGGGGATGAAAGGCAAGAAAGCCTTTTAGAAGACTATCACATTCATTCAAGGAAGAGATGATGACCTATGCTGAGAATAGTGGGGGTGAGAGGACACAATTGACAGCTATCAAGGAGGTGGGAGAGGCAGGATGTGGTGATAGATTGACGAAGGATTTCTTTCTCCCTAGAATGGCGTCAAAGGTCTCTTGCAATCTGGACCAGCCCACTTCTCCAACTTCTCACTTACATGTGGGCTATCCCTTCTTCCTTTCCTCTCACATAGGATTGCTAGAGCTTTGTAGTCAACTGCCATCCCTGCTGGATTCTAAGCTCCACAAGGGTAGGGATCATATATCTGTTTTGCTCACTTTTGAATCCTTTACATTTAGTGCAATCCCTACCACATTCTAGGTTTACTCAGTAGCTGTCGAATACATTGATGAATCAATGAAGGAATCCTACATTTTAGCAAGCCAACACCTCATCCATCCAGAAGAACTCCTGCATCTTAATGTATCCACACTTTTGTACATGCTTTTCCCACAATTAAGATTCCTCTTAAACAACTGGAGAACTTCTACTCACTCTTGAGAAGCTCAGATACAGGTCACCTGCTCTGGGAGTCCTTTCTTTCCTCCTCCAGAAAGAACTGGTTCCCCGCTCTTCTTCTGCGTCTATTAATGCAGAGATTACATTGTGCTGTGATTCGTTTTTCATGTCTGTTTACTCCCACAAGAATAGAGCTTTTCAAAAGAAAAAAGATTGTCCTATTTACAGTTTAGTCCTTAGTGCCTAGGGTGCCTGGCACATGGCAGGTTCTCCATCTTCTCCTATGTTTTAAGGAACACCCAGATAAATAATGTCTAAGATATTGTGCTACCCTCAAGATAACTTCTTTCTAGAAGCAGACAAATACATGGAATCCCTGTTGTAGTAATGATATAGATGAAATTTGTGTCGGACTAATTAAAGGATAGAGTGATTGTATGGGTGCTAGGAAGGATGCAGAAGGCAGGCTTCAACAAATGCAGAGGAGGGGTTGAGAGCATTCTTGGTGGGAGAAGATACAGTAGTTAAAATGCTAAAATGAGTATGCATGTGGTCATGTACCAGTGTTTCAGAATGTGTGTTTTGGAGTTACCCTGCCTCATTTCAAATACCAGCTATAAGCTTTCCAACCCTCAGTCTTCTCACCAGGAACAAAGTATAATAGTGGAACCTTCCTTATAGAGTTGTCATTACATGAAATGAAATAATGCACAATATATAAAAGATCTAGCACAGTGTCTGGCACATAAAACATGCTCAATAAAACCCAGCTAGCATTGTCAAGAAATTGTATTAAGTACCTACTGCATGCTATGTCCTGGGCTATGTGTTGAGGATCCATGAAATAACTGGACAGACATGGTCCCTGACCTTAGAGATGTCACAGCCAGGATTAGTGTGGTTTAGCAATGGATTTCTTAAGTTAGGCTAGGCTGTAGTAACAAACAGGGCCAAATGTGTATAGTGGCTCAAAAGTAACAAAGGTTTATTTTTCACTCAGATAATAGTCAAAAGAAGATGTCCTGGTTGGGAGGTGACCTTATTCCAGATAAAGATACAGAAACCCTGGTTCCTTCCATCTCGTGACTCCAAAATCCTCTAGACTTCATCATCATGTACATAGAGCCAGAGGAAGAGGAGAGAGTATGGAGGGTCACACCCTCTTCTTCAAGGCGTTGGCTGGAAATTGAGCTCATATCCCATTGACTAGAACCCAGTCATGGCCACTGGTAATGGCAAGGAAGCTAGAAACTGCAATGAGTGCCTCAGAAGAGGAAATGGGTTATCATGAACGGCTAGCTGCCTACCATAAAAATATTTATTTGAAAAGTAAGACAAGAGGCATAGAAAGAAGTTCCAAAAGTATAGGAATTGCAAACTGGTGGCCTACCAGCCAAATCTTGCTGCCTTAGACAGAATATACTCTTTCTGTTTAGCCACAAAAACAACACTCTATTTAACATATGTCCCAATTCACATATATTCATGACTCACCTGAGTCCTGTAATCATTTGAGTTGTGACTCTTGCTTCCATACATCCTCCCAGGGTTATCTCATTCACTTCCAGGAATTTTATACAATTGATATGCCATGGCTCCCACATCTATTCCAGAATTCTCCAAATATGCATATCCAACAGCTTGCTGGGTGGTTCCACTTGAGTATCCGCCAAACATCCAAACCTTTGCGAAATAGATAAAGTTGAACCAATCATTTCTCCCCAAGCCTGTTCTGCCTCTTGGAATGTCTATTTCAGAAAATGGTCCCATCATTCACCAAGCAAGACCTGAAACTTGAGGATCACCCGTGTTCATCACCATCCACCTCCTTTCCCCACAGAATGTTGAAGTTCTGTGAGGGCAGAGGGTTTTGCGTGCTTTTTTTCCTACTTAACCTCCAGTACCTGAGACATCAATTCTCACACAGTAGACAATAAGTATTCGTAGAGTGAATTAATTAATGAACGCATGCATTGCCTTAGCTTAGGCCCTCATTTATGTTTAACCTGGATCTTGCACTTTCCTTCAAACTAGTTTCCTTGCCTCAAATCCTGCCTCTCCCCCATACTCTCTACTGCATATGTTTGATGACTCCATTATCTTCAGAATCCATTTCAGGTTCTCAGCAGGACCTATACGTCTCTGTAGGATCTGAGGTCTGCTTGACTCTCAGCCTGTACACTGCAGCCACATCCTCAATCACACAGTTCCCTCTGACCTCTGGCTAATTGCTGCCCACCTTCCAAGTTTCCGCTTAACTTCACCTCCTCCTAAAAGTCGTCTTTGGCAGCAACATCCTCTCCAGGAAAGAATCCAAACAAAACTGCTTTAGGAAGATTAGTCTACATCAGTAGGTGGGATCAATTGAAGTTATAATACACTTGTATTAGGAGAACAAAGGATGGGGGGAGGGTGAAGGATGTACTAAAAATTCAGACTGGTTGCTTAATCACTTTCATATAAATAGAGAAGATGCCTTTCAGCATCTTTTGCAGTCTTAATCCTTAGGGCTGCTCTGTCCAATACAGTAGCCACTAGGCAAATGGGGCTGTTGAATACTTGAAATGTGGCTCTCTGAATTGATATGGGCTTTGAGCAGAAATACACAGCAAATGTCAAAGACTTCATACAAAAAAAGGAATGTAAAATATGTTATTAATATGTAATCTTGATTACATGTTGAAGTGATACTATTTTGGATATATTGGGTTAAATCATTAAAATTAGTTTACCTGTTTCTTTTTACTTATTTTTTAATGTGGCTACTAGAAGTCTTAAAATACTTATGCAGCTTGAGTTATATTTCCATTACACAGTGCTGCCGGTGGGAAGGCCCAGTAAGTTGTAGCAGATCATTTGAACCTTCTCAAGTGTGGACTTACCCTAAACATCCTAAGATAATAAATCCATCTGGGTTTTGGCTATCTCCAAAGAAAGTCATTCCATACCTTTTCTGGATTTGTGGTTTAAATGTTTCTGTTTGATGATGGCCGTCAAAAGCTTCTTGCTACAGCCTAAGCCAGTCCCCTTAGGCTGCCTAAGAATCATAGTCCTGAGGACCACCCTGCAGCTGAATCCAGTTGAAAGTTAAAGTATAAATGGTTACTCACCAGACAGGATGTCAGTTGACTTGCTCATGCAGCAGCCCTGAGCCTGATAGAAGGTACGTAGATTCATGCTGTGCCCTGGCCAGAAGAATACATGGGCTTCATGATAGAAAAAATATGTTTATGACCTGGGGATAGAGGAGGCATTCATAGACAGAACATATATTAAAATTCATAAAAGAAAAGCTCAATAGTATATGATCATATCAAAATTAGAAACTTCTATTTGAAAACACACACACACAGAGAGAGAGAGAGAGAGAGAGAGAGAGAGAAATACGCTATAATGTTAAGATGTCAAGTAATCCAGGAGAAAATAGATCCTAAAAGGTTAAGATTCAGGATGAATAAAGAACTCCAAAAATTTAGCAAGAAAAAAAAGCTATGCAACACTATGGAAAACTGGTAAAAAGTAGATAAAAGAAGAAACATAAATAGCCAACAAACATATAAAATAATGCCCAACCTCACCAGTAATCAGGAAAATGTAAATTTAAGTGAAAGATCATGCTCTTTTTTTGCCAGCAGATTGGCAACTGTTTTTTAAATTGATGGTATATCAATATTGGCCAAGAAAACAGGCGAAATATCCTCTCAGACGCCACTGGTGTAAATACATGTATCTATTTTGGAGACAATTCTACTAAAAAATAAAACTGGGCATAGCTGCATACCATGAAGCAATCCAACTTCATGGAATCTACTTTAGAAAGACACGTGTGCACAAAGAGGTGTGTATGGGGTGTTCACTACATTTGTTTTAGCAAACAATGAGAACAATCAAAATGTCCACGAATAAGAGAATGGCTGAGTAAGCTGGGGATACTCAAAGCTTGGAAGCTTCAGCAGCAGTTAAATCAAGTGAAGTAGACTGACATGTACAGGTAATAACAAATCCTCCAGAGGTATTGTTCAGTGCAAAAGGCAAGTTGCAGAGTGATGTATATGATGTGGTTCCATTTCTACTTTAAAAACACATACACGGAACATGGGTACATATGCATAAAATCACTCCATAGGTTTTCCAGGGGTACAGATGTGCGTGCGTAACACAAGGTCTTTAAAATATTCAGCAAACCCAAAGCAGTGAATCCTCCTAGAAGAATGTGGACATTTACAGAAGGAGAGACAAAGAGGAATTTAACTCCATCTTGGATGAATTTACAAGAGGAATTGAGTCACATGTTACTTCATTATGCAATTACAACGTGTAACTTTTTAAAAGTGAAAGGGCTTGGGTTGGGATCCCTAAATCTTGGTTCTCCCTTAGACCAGCGGCCCCCAACATTTTTGACATCAGGGACTGGTTTCATGGAAGACAATTTTTCAATGAACTGGGTGGAGGGGTGGTCCCAGATGCTTCAAGCGCGTTACATTTATTGTGCACTTTATTTCTATTATTATTTCATTGTAACATATAATAAAATAATTATACAACTCACCATGATGTGGAATCAGTGGGAGTGCTGAGTTTGTTTTCCTGCAACTAGACAGTTCCATCTGGGGGTGATGGGAGGCAGTGACAAATCATCTGGCATTAGATTCTCATAAGGAGCACGCAAGCTAGGTCCCTCGCATGTGCAGTTCATTATAGGGTTCACACTCCCATGAGAATCTAAAGCCATCACTGATCTGATGGGAGGTGGAGCTCAGCTTCAGTCACCCACCTGCTGCTCACCTCCTGCCATGTGGCCCAGTTCCTAACAGGCCGTAGACCCATATCAGTCCGCAGCCCGGGGATTGGAGACCCCTGCTCTAGACCTTTCATTTACCTGCCTGTGTCTCTTTTCTGTGGACCAAGCCCCAGGGTAACATTTGCAAATCTCTGTTCCCTGTACCCTGGTGGAACTTAAGTAATCCACTATTGTATCCCAAGGGGTTATGAAGATTAAGGAGGAATCTAATGGGGCATCTGGTTCAAAGTATGTGCTTTACACTGGATTCTTTCTTTCTCTTCCAGATAAGATTTTTAGAAGACAGCAGTTTTTACCGTGGTGGCAGAGCCCTCTGCTAAATCCTCATATTGGATCTCAAAGGTGGGATGTCATTCGACCCAATGGTTTTTTTAGTCATTTATCTTCCTAACACCTATGAGAGGTAAGACGTAGCTCCCTTACCCATGAGCAAACTGAGGCCAAGGAAAAGGAATTGGCCAGTTTCCCATCTCACAAAGCTCCGAGGGAGCTGGTGTTTTGTTTGGAACTTCTGCCTGTCCAATCTGTCAGTCACGGTTCATGGCCACCATGGAACACCCAACACAGGAACTTCCGCCCTTAATTATATTGAGCCATGAAAAAGTGTGACTAAAACCTACTGTCTGAATCAGATCCTTGTAATGATTAACCCCAGAAAATGGATCTGCAAAATGTATTGACAGAAACATGCACCTGCTCTCAAACACACTGGAGGAAATTTGGGAACTGCTGCTCTTGTCCAAGGGCACTAACCCATCCCTGATGAGACTGAGCTCCAGGCTGGGGCAGAGATGCTGGGCTGTCATACTCAGAGACATGGCTTCTCAAAGTGAGGTCAAGAGGTCTCCTATCCAGAAGTGCCTGTGGTGCTTATTAAAATGCAGATTCCTGGGTCTCATCCTAGAACTAGTAAATCAGAATCCCCGGGAGTGGTCCAGGAATCTGCATTTAAAGCAGGGAGATTCTTATGCACACTAAAGGTTGGCCCTAACTATGAGGAGGAAAGAACCAGAGACAAGAATGCTTATAGCACAAATGCTCTTTAGCCATCTTGACCGCATAGATGGCAGTGATACATATATCATATGTGTACACAAGAGGATAATGCCAACATATGACAGGTGAGAAAGAGTTGCCCCTGGGAAGAAGGAGAAAGAAACACAGGGCAGAGTAGAGAAGGAGCTACTCAGTCATTATCATCTTTAGAATCTTGTAACTTTGGTGGAAGCATAGGTTACTAAGATGATAATGCAGAAATGTTTACGTAAGAGAGTCTAAGGTAGCAGTGACTTCAGTCTCCTGAAAGACATTCTGCAAGATATTTAGCATTCTTAGTATTTTTTTTTTTTTTTTTGAGAGGGAGTCTCGCTCTGTCACCCAGGCTGGAGTGCAGTGGCGCGATCTCAGCTCACTGCAACCTCTGCCTCCTGGGTTCAAGTGATTCTCACTGCCTCAGCCCCCCAAGTAGTTGGGATTACAGGCATGCACCACCACACCCAGCTAATTTTTTTTTTTCTTTTTTTTAAAGTAGAGACAGGGTTTCACCATGTTGGCCAGCCTGGTCTCAAACTCCAGGGCGCAAGTGATCTGCCCGCCTCAGCCTCCCAAAGTGCTGGGATTACAGGCGTGAGCCATGTCTTTGTTTCAGCAAAACCAACCTAGTCCCTGATTCACAAATCATCCTGGGAGTGTATAGCACTTACAGCCAGAAAGAAGTCTCTGGAGCAAAAAGCATTGCATATTCAATGGTCTATTACATCACCATTGAAGACTCTGTCAAAAGGGGTTTTGTTTGATTAATTTTCATTATCTGCTGTTACCTAACTAATGAAAGGTGATACTATTAATGAGTGTGTGAACGAGACAGTGTCTTCGTTACCACCTCTGAAGCATTCCCAGCTTTTTCAGGGACGAATAGCCCTGACCCAAAGTGTGTCTTTTCTTCATTGTAGGGAGATAGAAACTCTGTCTCTCCAAGTACTCCAACACCAGTTATTGTGTGTCACAACCAGAACACAATATGAGGCTTGTGCTTGAGTTATTGCTGTTTTATGTGCCAAAAAAAAATGCTAGCTTTCTTTTTTCACTGAAGTTGGTAAGAGTTGGAAGACGTTTTAATACCACATTTATTGGTTTGAAAGCATGATTGTTTTAGTAGCTGGTGCAAATTTCAAGGAACACATAACTCCCTTTAAGAAATTTTGTTTCTAAGAAATTACATTTGACTAAATTTGGAAGCTTTAATGCAAATAACTTTCAAACAATGAAACCATATTCACAAGGAGATGCTTTTATTTTCTCCACTGAGGAAGAAATGGAGACATGTTTCCTATTGTCGTTATGTCCATCTGGACAGAAAAGAAAGTCTGTGGGCTAGACAAGTGAAAATCGGTTACATCTGGGTAGCCCGGCAGTCTCTCCCTGACTGCTGAAGAAGCTCCTCTTTGTTTCATTCCTGAAGCACCGTGTTGTTTTCTTGGACCCGTGCATCAAGTTAAACCTGAGTTAGACTATGGATCCCTTACACTTGATTTTATGATTGTAAGACTTACACAAATGCAAGCCTACAACACAATCGCACTCTTATTTGCTTACATCTCCATGAACAGGAAAGAAGCCACTTGATCTTATAAAAGTTCTGCCTGGTTGCTTTCTCTTTTATACCTATTGTTAAGCTATAAAATGAAATCACCAAATTATCAATCTGCTATCAATTTGCTACTTCACAATATATATTTAAGAATTTTACAAAACAAAACTGTGCCATAAAAAGTATTTCATCCATATGATCTTGCAGTTCCAC